AGTGTGGAGGGCTGGTGAGGTGTGGGGGTGTCAGAGGCTGGGGTGTGGGGGTGTCAGAGGCTGGGGTGTGGGGGTGTCAGAGGCTGGGGTGCAGCGGTATGAGTGGGTATTGGTAGACTGGGGTGTTGAAATTGCACTTGGGTATCTCCCCATCTCACACCAGCTGTGCATGCACATGCTTGTACACATTCACACACTCATGCAAGGTGTATGTTTCATAGCTCTCAGAAATGGCCTTGAAGAGAAGTTTCACTTCTCAGCAAAAGGCAGTATTTGCTGCTTAAGCGTTCTTTGATCAGCTTGGCCATTCACATATTCTCTGTGGACATCCACCCAGTATGATGGAGGTACTTATAATGGTGTGAATGGCTAACACATTTTATTTCCATTCATCTACTGATCCAGAAAGTTGAAATTGTGAATATTCATAAGAAAAGCAGCCAGAAACTCCTTTTGTTTTCAGCACTAGAGGCTTCTGTTACATAGTAATAATTTGGAGTAGTGGCTCCTTATTTTGTAGCAATGAGAAACTCTCATTTGCTGTAAGAATATTTCATACAGTAGTTTATCATCAGCAGTTCGTGAGGGCCCTAAAACCTTTTGCCACCAGGTTGTCACACTTTTTGGCTAGTGTTTTACCATTCCATTTGTATGCTAAGGGTACGTCTATACCCAGCCGCTAGTTCGGTGGCTGGCAATCGAACTTCTGGGTTCGACTTATCGCGTCTTGTTTGGACGCGATAAGTCGAACCCGGAAGTGCTCGCCGTCGACTGCGGTACTCCAGCTCGGCGAGAGGAGTACCGCGGAGTCGACGGGGGAGCCTGCCTGCCGCGTCTGGACCCGCGGTAAGTTCGAACTAAGGTACTTCGAATTCAGCTACGTTATTCACGTAGCTGAAGTTGTGTACCTTAGTTCGATTTGGGGGTTTAGTGTAGACCAAGCCTTAGAGTCCATCTATTGTACAAGACTGTGTTTTGTCAAAAATGTCTTGTGCTCAGAAGATGGGGAAAAATAGAATTCAGTTTCAAACATATTTAAAATGTTTTGAATTAGACTTCAAAATAATGTTTTGAATATGGTGGTAGATGATAACCTATGTGACTACATTTCTTGAGTATTGCCTTGTGCGTCCCTGTTGTGGGAAAACATGCTTTCTCAGTTTCAAAGCTCTTTTACTCTAAGATTGAATAGAGCAACATTTGTGATTGGCCATGAAATGCAGAGGTATGCCCATTAATATACATAGGAATACGTGTTTAGAGTCCAAACACCAGTGTTAGTATGCTTTCCTATGGAAGAGAGACTCATATTTTTATAGGGTTTTAGATTTTGTTGGTTTTTATTCACTGGTGGAGTCATATGAGTTTTCTCTTATGTTGGAAGCTGCAAAATATACTTGTTTGTTTTAACCTCCAAAATAATTAGGAAATAGTGTACTGTATTTTCTTTTTGAAAGGGCAATTGCAAAATCTTTTTTTCTTACTTTTGGTAGTTGTTGCAGAAAATCCTGAAGACATCTGATAAAGAAACTGAACAACCTGCTGACGTCCACAGTTTAGTCCCCTGTGGAGATGTGGTATGTACACTACAGACCATTGGTTCTCCGACAGTGGTCTGTGGTACTTGGAGAACTAGCTGGCAATCAATGAAGAATTGGCTGGTCACATAGTGCTGTGATTCTTTCTTGTTTTCAGTTACCAAATTACATTTAAACACATATAAAAGTCATATTAAGTCAGTGTTTTATGTATTTTTAGTTAAGTATTTGTTCTAGTTGTCACATGGATATTAATGCAATCATAAACTAGAGGGGGGTGGTTCATATGATTGATAATGAGAGGAGGCGTGATCTATGAGAATCTCTTTATTAAGATATCTACAAAATGAAGAAGTTTGAGAACCCCTGCATCAAGCTTTTATGTGCTTACAGAGATTTAAAAATTACTATGCAACTCTTGGTAAAATTTAATCACCTGATTTACTTGAATATACTCATTCAGGGATGTCCTTGAAATTGTTCTATATTGCCGAATGTTTATTGATTTTCATTTTGCTAATAAGCTTCTGTGTTCACAGCTGAAGCCAAGAAACTCATTGTTCAGTTTACTGATGAAAATTTTTTTTGTTCTGTGGATCAGGCACTATACAACTAAAAGAGAGACAGCCCCTGTTTCCAGGAGTTCACTGTCTTGAACAAAGCAACTGCAAACTTTGCCTATATCAAATGGAGATCTAATACTAGATCCCTGGATTTGGTCTATAAAAAAAGTAAAGAAATATTGTATCACTCAAAAACAAATTATTTAATGTTTATTTAAAACATTGTTAAAGAAGCAATAATACCTTGCCTAAAGTATAGGCATGTTTGGGTTGTTTCCTGTATGGTCTCCAAAAAGTGTCATTTATTCACCATCCCTGTATGCTTTGTAGTGCCTTATTGCTTTTTAAAATTGCTGTCATTGCTTACTTTTTCTCCCTGTCTAGTTCTGAAACTTCTATATCTCTGAGCAGTATATTTTACATTTTAAAAAAGAGTAATGGAATTCTACATAGACTAAATCCTGAAATATTTCCCTAGGCCAAATTGAATAAAGAATCCAGGATTTGGTCTAATGGTTAGAGGAAAAAGGTTTCCACCTTTTGTGGGTTTGCTGGAAGCGTGTAATTTTTTTGAAACCCTGTATTTCTTCTCACCATTTTATAAAGACAAAGTTACTACATTGTTTTGCCACAAAGCAACAAATGCATTTACAAATGACTTCTTGTGTTAAGAAGTGCCTACAAAAAATTGCTGTATCAGGACCTAAAGAAAGTTTCAAGATTTTTCTGGGATTAATTTATCACTTGTCCTCTTTTGGGTTTCATTAGGTTGGTTGCCTGGCTGTTCATGTGAAGGTGTGCAAAGATTTTACATCAAAATGTATCCTTTTTCTATTTCCCTACCCTCTGCAAAGTATATTTTCCTCTATCCTTGGACTGACCACACCTTTAGAGTATTCTGGCAGGGAAGTATAGAACATCTCACTCTGTAGGTTCTTGCAGTTCACTTAAGAGATAATGCTTTCTTTCTCTAGCTATTGAGTTTGACATTCATTTAGTGTGTGAATTGATGAGGAATTTAGCAGTGAGCCAGAGTCCAGTAATAGAATCCTAAGGAGACTCACTGAGTAGACTTCCTTGTTTATGTACTGTAGGAACAAAAGACACGTTTACATGGAGAGAACAATTGTAATTTTAAAAAGCAAAGATATTTAATTATTAGGATTGTTATATAGCAATCAGTATTCTGTCTAGACTGAGTTTTTTACTCATGAAAGGGTGACAAATTATTTTAAAGCCATTTACATTGTTACTGTTAGTGACCAGAAGACACTTGGTAAATCTTATGTACAGTATTTCAGGCAGTCTACACAAAACTTCATGTTTGAGTAAATAGTATGTTGCTCACATTTTAAGTAATGTTATTTTTTATTGTAAAATAAATGAAAACAATATATAATAAATAGGGCCCTACCAAATTCATGGCCATGAAAAACACCTCACGGACCATGAAATCTGGCCTTTTGTGTGCTTTTACCCTGTACTATACAGATTTCATGGGGGGAGATCAGCCTTTCTTAAACTGGGGGTCCTGACCCAAAAGGGAGCTGCAGAGGGGTCTCATGGTTATTTTAGGGGGGTAGTGGTATTGTCAACCTTATTTCTGCGCTGCCTTCAGAGCTGGGTGGCCAGAGAGCAACAGCTGTTGGCCAGGTGCCCAGCTCTGAAGGCAGTGTCCCGCCAGGAGCAGCGCAGAAGTAAGGGTGACAATACCATACCATGCCGCCTATACTTCTGCGCTGCTGCCTTCAGAGCTAGGTAGCTGGAGAGTGGTGGCTGCTGACTGGGGGCCTAGCTTGTTACCAGATCTGCCAGTTACTTTGGGGTATGCTCATTTATTCGGGTTACTCTTCTGGGAGGGGGAGGGGAGAGTGTTCTGTAATTCTATCAATGTACTGCTTGTGTCACGTGTGTTTTCATATGGAGCTCTACTTCTCCCTTATGCAAGTCTCCTCCCAATGGATCTATCCTGCCGGCCCTAGGTTCCCTAGGGCTTGGTTCCTCCAGCCCCAGAACTAGGGTCGCCTAGGGTCGCCTAGGGTCGCCTAGG